CAACTAAATAAAGCACACACGAGGTTGAATGCAAAGGCTGCTAACAATATCATCATAGTTACTTAATAACACACTGTTGTGAAAGTCATCTGTGAAGAGTAGCCTGCACTGATGCACATGCTCATTTATATTTACGCACAATTTCATCACCGCACATCGTGCACTTACCCAGAAGATGAAGTTAAACACAAACAAAAGGTATTTCACGCATTTCATTCCTCCTTCCACCGTTCCCATTTCAGCTGGATGTTGTAGTTCTTGGCCTTCCTCCCTGAAAAATGTTGTGGCAACTGAATGGGCTCCGAACAATGTGTCAATAACGGTTCACCCCGGTCATAACACTGATGAGTCTAGAGGCGATGTTACGGAGTCTCTCTGTCTCTCTCTCTCTCTCTCTCTCTCTCTCTCTCTCTCTCTCTCTGTCACACACACACACACACACACACACACACACAAACACACGGGAGCGTGCACGCACACAAAAACCGCAGGATCCGCTTAGACTGTTTCCAGACCGCCCCTTTCAATAAGGCAGAGGGGGGCCGAAGGGAGGACCGAGACTACACGATGGGGACTTGGCAAATGTTAGTACTCTTTTCCCTGTAGACCCTCCATACTGTTCTTACCTAGGATGTTATTCACTACATATTCACTATGCCCTTTATATATTTGATGGCACAATGTACTTAAACGTAAAATTTCATGGAGCCTACGAGCACTGTGATATGCTTTGCTACTTTAATATTCTTAAAATGTGTATGCAACTTAGTAAATAATCATGCACAGAACAGGCCTAACTGGAAAGTTGGTCTCATTCACAGAGCCACATTGGTAAGATAGCAAAAGCCTAAGCTTCTGAGCAGAAATGAGATGTTTCAAAAGATCTGTTTTGTTTTGTAATCATGATATTAGATAACAGGAATTACTCAATTTCCTTTTACAAGAAATGCAATGATGCAGCTGGTCTGCAACATGCAGTATCACAACCTTTCCCACACCTTTGTTCTCCAAAAATTCTCCAAGGCTTTTCATGTAAAATAGTTCCAGCTGCTCCCCACAGCACTAAATTAAACCCTGTAGGGATGAGTTAAATAGTTCAAGTTTACACAAATGAATCATTAGCTGTCCCTTCATTCAACTTAACCTTTAGAGATGTAATAAAAAAAAAACTTTAAAATAAGTATATGCCCTTGGAATTGTATTTTTTTAATCAAAGCAAAAGTCACAGCTTATTTAAGAAAAAAACATTCTTGTTAAAAATCCCGAGCCAATTTGCATAGTTAGTATTATTTTTACATGCTGGGTTACCGCATCAAAACAGCCCTTTGTCTTGGGTTGTTTTCTTTCTGGACAAAGTTAATCCACTGCTGTGTTGGGGCTCTATTAATTTTTTTTGGTGTTTATGGTTTTCTAACTTTTAAACACAGGAATCTTTTTCCTCAGTGTTGTCCAGTCCTGAGCAAAGCACCAGCTACTTCAAACAAGAATACAAACTGAGTCTGCCATTGATGAAATGGAATAAGTAGCCCCTACGTTCTATTTCTTCCCCCAGTGTCATTAGTGACTGGGAGCATGTAACTCAGCACCAACACCATGTTCAACATAAATATTTTCCCCACAGCCATGGAGAGCAGAGGAAAGATCCAAAGTGCAATTCGTTTTATCACTGGGAAATTACACGCTGGTTAGAACATGTCCTTATAGAGGAACAGAGTGGTCTACGGAGCGAGAGGGGAGGAGGGGTCAGAGAGGAATGACACGATGAAGAGAGAGGGAGAGAGAGAGACAATACTTCGAGGATGTACTGTATGAATGTGAATAATCACTAACAGCTACTGAAGCTCTTCTCAGTCATAAACACTTAAGCTGAACCTAAAACTCTCAAAGCAGTAAAGTCTGGGTACTGAGAGACTCATTAGGGGAATTGTGAAGGACAGAAAAAAAAGGCTGTGTTTGGATGCTAACCAGAACAGTGCCAAAAGGGGACAAGCTGATAAGACAGGGACAAGATCACTATGTCCCTGTTGGCTGGTTGCTGTTGTTGGCTGTTGGCTCAGTTGATATGTGGTCCTAAATATATGAACAAGAAAATACATGCAGATCATGACCTCTGTGGACATAGATAACAAATAACTTAGCAGATCCTTTTACAGCTGAACATGATACATAACAGGTTCATCACGGGGCACAGCTGACATAGTCTACAACTGGTCTGTTGTTTTGTTTTGGTGACAGGTGGATGTTATGACCCTATAAATCTTGTATGTTAATAACACAACAACAGAGCTTGTTAGAAATGTGTGGTCACTGTCAGTGGTGGAAAATAAAAGGAACTATCAGAGTTATTTTCCACTGCTGTCAATGGTGGAAAATAACTATGTATATTTACATAAGTACAAGTTTGAGGTATCGGTACTTTACTTGAGTATTATTTTGTGCTACTTCATACTTCTACTTCACTACATTTAGTTTATAACTTTAGCTACTTTTTACTTTTCAGAACCCGATTGATATAAAAATTACAGTATGATTTTAAGACTTTATTGATCTCCTGTGAAAAATTCACAAGCTATCCAGCAGGCATTCAAATAATAAGCATATAAACCAGTTAAGATAAATCCACCTTTACCTGCTGCAACATTAAATGTGAAGAACACTATAATACAGCACTGTAGCGCGGTGGTTAGCCCTGTCCCCTCACAGCAAGAGGTATGTTTTGATACTAATATTTATGTACCTTTACTTAATTAACATTTTGAATTCAAGACTTCTACTTATAACAGAGTATTTTTTAATATCCTGATGAAGGCTTCACGCAGAAATGTGTTGGTCTTCTTATTACAATTGCTCAAAACACTGCAAGTACAGCTTGACTTTTTGTTTTCCAATTTGTTTTTCCCTTGTCTGTGCACCTTGACAGTGGGCAAAGTTGTGCCAGACCTTTCTGCTGTAACAGAGTATTTTTACCCTGCTGTATTGGTACTTTCACTTAAGTAAAAGATCTGAGTACTTCTTCCACCACTGGTCACTGTAATCTTAAGAAGTTGAACTAAGTCCTTGCTTTTCTCCTTCTCTCTTGAATGGGTGGGGTCAGTATTAGCAGTTGTTATTTGTCTGTCTGTTACACCCACGTTTGGGTCAGTGTCTGCACCTTTTTCCTCCACTCTGAGGTCATTATTGATGACAGACTGCGATATCTGTTGGCAGTTAGCCTTATTTTGTTAGGAACTGAATTAATCTGTAACTAACCTGAAGTAGAATTATAAGTAAAATCATGCTTAAGACTATTTTAATTTTTGAAGATACCATTAATTAAGCCTTGATCATAACTGTCTGATTTGTTATTGACAACAAAAAACTGGCAGGAGTGGCTACCAGCCAAAGAAACTTCTATCTGTGGCAGCACAGCACCATCTACCGGCAATACAGTATGTTGCCATATATAGGAGCTGCAAATGACTGTGTGGCCATTTATTTCCAAGGAAAGTTATGTAGAGTAGGCAGCTACGCACTCCATTCATGAACTGGGAGATGAATAGACATGGTTAAGTGACTTGTTTAAAAGCTATTTGACAACAGTTTTTGACTGAAGGCTTATTTATTCACTGTATTCATCCATGTTGGCATACCTGACCTGCAAATCATTTTGAAAAGCGTGGCAGATTATGAAAGAAAATAAAATACTCTTCTTTGCAGGCTGTGAGTGTTTAGAGTTTGCATCCAGAATACAGCTTCAGCTTTCTCTCTTTACCTGCAGGTTGTATCCTACTGCCTTGTATACCTTCACAGCTACTGCAGCAAAACTGAGAAACACTACCTTTTGCTGGTCCTGCCAAAGTGAGAGGCTATCCGAGGTCACTGTCTGAAAGACGACTGATCAGACAGCCTTGCTGCAATGAGGTTTCCTGGCAACACACTCAGCTGAAAAACATCAGGCATAATCTGTGAAGCAGCAGCTGCATTTGTGAGGGTGAGAGCACAGCCAGGCACATGGGGAGAGGGATGGTGTGACAAAAGGTGCGGAATTAAACTTTCGGTGAGAGGAAACGAGTGAGAGGACCACTGAAAATACTCTCCTATTGGTACCAACATTTATTCGGTATAGTTTTTCATTTAACCATAAGGGGGTAGCATATTCTTGCAAAGCAAAATACTGAGTGTGAAGCAAGAGGACTGTTGTGTTGTACAGAAATGATAAAATTAGTTTGGGAATATGTGCTACCACAAAACATTATGTGAAAGACTGGTGACCTGTCTGCCTGTCACCCAGTGTTGGCTGTATTGGCTCCAGCATCCCCCTGAACAGACAGACAGACAGACAGACAGTTCTCTTGCCCTCCTATATTTTTACCCTGATACTTGAGGTACAGAAGGTGACCATACTAATATAAATTATGTTCATTTTTCTATTTGATTTATTACCTATTTGCATGTACAATCCCCATCCTTTCCTCATGCTGGCTTATTTGCCACAGCTGCATTTACACCAGTTTTTCAGGGTTATAGGAATTTCTCTGCACTGCTGGGAGCACCACAGCCAATCTATTTTCCTCTGTGTGCATAAAATGCAGAGCTGGACTTTCAGGCCTGCATGATGTGAACAACATTCCTTCACCCTGGGAATAGCCTGGACTGGTTATGGAGGCACAAGGTATAGTTGAGCTGAAAAACATAAAAGAAAATCAACTGGACTTGGTTTTATCCAAGAGGCTTCATCAGTAGCTTTCAGCTTACCATGACCACCTAAAGTATATAAATCAAAAATCAGCTGTCTGATTTTGTGATTAGTACAGATAAAAAAAATCCTATTGAGTGACTTTAATATTCAAGTAAATGCTGATGATGGCAACCTCAACAGTGCATTCAATTCATTATTAAACTCAACTGGTTTTTCTCAGACTGTAAATAAAACCACTCACTGTTTTAACCACACCCTTGATCTTGTTCTGACATATGGCATCGAAACTGAACACTGAAAACATAGTTTTTCCCCAAAACTCTCTTCTATCTGTCTGACCATTTTCTAATAAGCTTTGAACTTACATTAATGTATTATACACTATGTGGGAAAAATTCCACTGCAGTAGATGTCTGACAATGCTGTTACCAAATTTAAGGAAATAATTAATCATTATTTACTTAAGTGCCATTTGCCAACACAATGGAGGGAGGCCACCTTAACTTTACTCCCACAGAAGTCGATTATCTTGTTGATAGTACTGCAGCCTTCCTGCGTAATACACTTGATACCATTGTCCCTCTGAAAAAGAGGGCTGTGAAACAGAGGAGGCTAGCCCCGTGGTACAGCTCGCAGCTCTGCTCCTTAAAGCAGGCATCATGAAAACTGGAAAGGAGGTGGCGCTCCACTAAGTCAGAAGAGTTTTTCCTATCATGGAAAGATAGTTTAATAACATATAAGAAAGCCCTTCATAGTGCCAGAACTGCATATTATTCATCACCGATAGAGGAAAATAAGAACAACCCCAGGTTTCTTTTCAGCACTGTAGCCAGGCTGACAAGGAGCCACAGTGCTGTTGAGCTTAACATTCCCTTAGATCTCAGTAGTAATGACTTCATGAGCTTCTTTACAACTATTAGAGAAAAAAATTAATTAGATCCTTCTCACAACTCTCACAGATGTGCCATCAAGTACAATGGCTTTAAACATCTGGGAGACTTCATTTATATTTAAACTGCTTCTCTCCCATAGATCTCTCTGAGTTGACCTCAACAACTGCTTCATCTAAATCATCACCATGTCTCTTAGACCCCATCCAGACCAGGCTGCTCAAAGAGGTTTTATCCCTAATCAACATGTCCATATTAGATCTGATCTGTTATTGTACTTGGGCCTGAAAATCTTGCAAATATGCTATCTAACCATATAGTTACTCTAGATGACATAATTCTGGCCTCTAGTACTGCTATGAGGAACCTTGGAGTCATTTTTGACCAGGATACATCCTTTAAATCACACATAAACCTCACACATAAAGTTTCTACAACTGCCTTCTTTCACCTGCACAATATCTCCAAAATCAGGAACAGTCTCTCTCAAACTTCCCCTTGTCTCACCACTATGCATCATTAAGTGTGTGTCTTCTCTCTCCCGTAGTGTGTCCTCTCTCTCTCTCTCCCTGCACCTTTCTGCAAGTAGCTCTGGTTCTGGAGCTCTATGTTTCTGATGAGCAGTTTAACGGCCACATCAACCTGCCCAGTGCTTGATGGTTTGTTATGTGTTGTTGCTTTTCTTTTCTCTTCTTTCCTCTCTCCTCTATCCATTCACCCCAAATGGTTGAGGCAAAAGGTCGCCCTTTAAGAGTCGGGGTCTGTCAGAGGTTTCCTCCATTAAAGGAATTTTTTACTCCTCGTTGTTGCCGAGTGCTTCTTCAAGGGGGATTTGTTGGGTTCTTCCTCTATAATAATAATAATAATAATGATGATGATGTCGAGACTAGACTTACTTTGTAAAATGTCCTGAGATGACTTTTGTTGTGATTTGGCGCTATACAAATAAAATTGAATTGAATGAAACTCTAGCTAGGGAGCCTTGGATATGGGAGTGTTTAGAGCAGAGTTGCTGTGTCGGCTTACTACATGGTGCATGTTGAGCTGTGAGCAGTTCAGTACATTTGGAAATATGGCTGATGAGAGAGGTGATAATAAATTAAAACAGTAAAGCTGTGAAAAAACTGTGTGAAACCAAAACAAAGAACTGAACGATGCTTAAAAGTATCTGTGGAGTTGAAGGGAAATTCTGAGCTGGTTAATAATTCTTGGTGGGTTTGTCACTCTTTTGTATTTCACACAGTCATTATTCATATTAAAATATTGATAAGAGTAGTTTTAAAGCTAAAATGTTAAGATCAACACAATATTAAACTGACACAACAAACCAAACAAGTACTGAGGTGTTTAATAAATAACAGCATGAACACAACTCATATTTGAGTGTTTAAACCATAAATATGACATGCAGTCCTTATAACTTAAAACAACCAGGACTTCTTGGACTGAGGTAGGGTCAGGGGGCCAAGAGGTTGTATACTGAAGCTGTTTCTGAGTGTGTGTGTGTGTGTGTGTCTATGTGTTTGGAGGTGGGGAACAGGATTACAGTATTGGCAATAGAGCTGCAGTGGCAGAGAAATGTCTGTGCTTGGTTCATAGTTCAGTGGTCAGGAGTCATCCTCCGCAGTCAGTGCCCCAGTCGTCCTGCCCAAGACTTCCGGCTGAGCACACACACACATGCAGCATTGATGCGGATGAAACGCCAGGCTGTCTGTTCCTTGTAGATGGTCAAGGCGCTTACGAATATGTGTGTGTTGGTGCAGTAGGAGTTCCAGTGGCGACTATCAATGCCGAGGCAGCCTGAGTTGCCTGATTTGGAGCCCTGTTTGCCACCCCGTCCCCCTAGCCTTGGCCCATTTGCAGTCCCAGAGCCTCTGTGCGTGGGGGACCGGCAGGTGGTCTCGTAGAAGAACTGTTTCTTCACCACATTGTTGATTGTAATATTGGGCAGCACTGTCACCTCATTCCCACGTATGTCTGTGGCTTGTGTCAGGTTGCTCACCCAGGTATTTATGCTGTCACATACTGAGTACTCTCCTCGGTGCATGGTGTGCAACCCTGCTCTGCGCTTTACCCTGACCCCTCTCACCCCTTCAATGTCATAGCCCTCGCCATCCAGGGCGTCATGCGACGGAGGCACCTCGCTGAAGACAACACGGGGCGAGGAACGGTATCGTCTCTTGGAAAAAAGCATGGGGTCCACCACTGGGATGGAGGGGTCAGGGGGAGAATCTGATGCAGAGTGCCCAACAACAGGGCCCCTATCCTGGCTGTGTGAAGCTGCCCGATGGGACCTCTTGGTCCTGTGGTGGCTGGTCCTGTGATGCTCCTGTGAAGAATGGTGCTCAGAAATGTGATCCCCCGCTAATGTTTGCTGATGTCCTGCTCTGTGATTGGCTCCCATCTGCTGTCCTACTTTGTGGTTGGCTGCCCCGACACTCTGGGCCAATCCACCTCCCATATTCAGTACAGCCTGGACGCCGATCAGGAGGAGCAGGACCAGTGGTGACGACCTCATGAGCACACGTCCTACGCCAAACACAGGAAAAAAGTTCACATAATGCCATGCTGATATCTACAGTAAGTTACAATAGGTACAGTACATTTTCTAGTACGCAATCAACAAATGTGAGGTTTTTTTGTTTTAATTCGGTCTTTGACTCCTGAATTGAATAAACAATTTGATGGCAGTTCCTAGGTAGGTAGGTAGGTAGGTACTTAGGGCATTTATCATTAGTTAATGAAACCTTGCATTAGTTCAGGCAGAGCACTTGTGTGAGTGATAAGCATTAGCTATTTGCAATATGCTGTCTGGGGGAAACCTTGGCAAGATTGGTTGATATGGGAGGGTCGTCAGCTGATATAATTCACCTGGGCATTCTTAATACTACTACTAATAACAAACTTTATTTATAAAGCAATATAAAAAGCAAAGAATATCTAAAAATATAAATTATGTGAAAAAGCAAATGCTGCTTGGCTATCAAAGCTGGCCCATGTGCTCATGTGGTCTCTTCCTACAGCTTATATCTGCCCCCTTTGTAGGCTGAAGTGATTGATCTCAACTGGACACCAGTCTGTTGTTATTCACTTGAGTGTGGCAGACAATGTGCTGAAGACCATGGCTGCTTCTCAAGTCTTTTATATGAGCCTTTCTTGTATGTTCCAAGACTCTTATATCTGCTCTGAGGAGCAAGGAGGCTGCTGGAGGAGCCATGAGTGGGGATACATGACAGTGTCCTTTGCTGAAGCTTTTTTATGGACTGACATGCCCCTCTGTTGAAAATCATTCAGTGACTGGATGCTTCAGATCAAAGGAAAGGACATATCTAGTCTCTAAAAACATTTCCTCTCCTTTTCTCTTCTTCTTACATGGGCAGGACTAAGAAACAAAGTAAAAGATGCAAGTAAGGGAAACATGGACCCATAGAAAAGACTTGGGAAGCAGCCCAAGTATTTTCCTGGTTTTTAGAATGTCGCCATTTGGTTCTGGTGGAATCGGTGCATAAATACCCACCACTAGTATTTGTCTAGTGACAAGGGCTGAGACCAGAAAGTAGTACTAGCATAAATACATTATCAGAAAGGAAACTGGGATAATTGCAGTTGTTTTCCCAATTTAGTTAAGCAATGTTCTCTGTCTAGACTGGCGACCTGTCCAGGGTGAACCCCGCCTCTTGCCCAGTATCAGCTGGGCTTGGCTTTGTGTACCTGTGGAATGTGTCCAGTTGAAGTGGGAGCCCCTGTGGACTCTAGAGCCAGCTTCCACTGCAGGCCGGCCCCCTCATGCCTGCTATCTGGACCCCCTGAACCACAGCTCTGTAAAACACATCCAATGTTTCTTAAATTAGGCAAATTAAACATATGGGTTCACAGTTCAACTTTTATTATTTTTCACGCATTTTAATAAAACCATTAACTGTTTCACATAACAAATGTCCACCTTTATCATTAAGACTAAATTTTACTTCACAGATAGGACACACTCTCGTGGACTTTTTAAACGTCTTCAACAAATTCTTCATGTCTTATGTTCGCACAGGGAGTTATTTCTGTCACTCCTATTAAACATTGAATTATTATGAATTACACACACACACATATATATATAAAACATTCAACACTGTAAAAATCTACTTAATTTTAAGCCACATGTTTAAAACATAAAGCACAACTTTCCAAAATTGCTGCATGCTTAAGTTTATATCCTGATAAAGGGCATTTATTATTCCTGGCTTTTTTGGGTTACTTTTATGTCTCATTTGTGAATATCCAACTGTGTACAAAAAAGGACAATGAAAACAAAGTAGAGGACATTTTCTGACAGCATCCATTTTTTGTCAGACTGGCACACATCTTCAACATTACTGTAAATACAGGTACAAGCAAAATGTCCAAGGAGAAGTCAGTCAGGAAGTGAGGTGAACGTATTTAGTTGAGTAGATGAGATGATTTTGAGAGCATTGCAAACTCTGTGCCCTCATCTTTCTTGTTCTGACCACCACCGCTCTCACAGACATACACAGTTTACCATTACCTGACCTCTTCTCATCTAAAGTGCACACACTCAGTCACCATGTTTAACTCTTAGATCTTAGACTACTCTTACACTGGAATGTGTGTGTGTGTGTGTGTGTGTGTGTGTGTGTGTGTAGGGTGGGGGGTGGGGTGGGGTGTCACATCTCATTAGATATTACATTTAATGAATGTAAAGCACAGCATGCAATAGGGGATGTGAATACATACAAACAGTGTCTTTCTAGACACATGTTACCCCATGCATGTAGGAATACATATATGGTTGTTTTTATGAATAGTCTGGTGGCTGAGATGCTCCCTCCCACACAAACACAAACAAAGTTTATTAGTGCTGTAAATGTTTAGCTCAGCATGTTAAATTTTACTATCTGGTTGCGAGAGGTACACAGCCTTCTGGTTGATATAAAATGTTTAGGAAGTGATTCATGCTTCATGAGCATTTTTGCAAAAATTAAAACATGGTTTAGTTTTTTTTACTTAATTTTTTTGTGGCATCCAGCAGCTTTCAAATCCAAAGGTTTGCACTGAAACAAATATGTAGCACATAACCAGAAGAGGTCAGTGTTGCCTGCTCAGTCTAGAAGTCAAAGACAACATCAAGCAGCTGAGACTTACCAAAATGTCACTGACCCCAATAGAAATAGTAACTCAGCTGCATGAGAGAATTTCAGAATGTTAAGTCATTTTTCAGGTATTTTCCCACAAATCCTGGAGTTTTATTTTCTATTTCTTGGACGACTACACTGTATTTGGTTGTCAACAAGGCAGTGATTGAAAGTAAGTATAATAACATGTACATGTACTAACACACACACTGAATTTTACACAATTTTTATGGAACTCATTTTATTAGAATATTTGTATTTAATGCTACTAAGCACCCCCCTCACCCCCCACCCCACTACATTTCTGAGGGGAAAATGTATTTTTAAGTTTCCCATATTTCTTCGGCTATTGCCACAGGGTAGGTATCTATAAAACAATCAAGTAATTTTGAGTCGTTTGTGAAAACTGACCCACTATTGATATCTTTTATCTTCAGTAGACACAATCATACACCTACACACATATGGAGCTGGTCCAAAAAGGCACTGAGTTGATTGATCCAGCCTGACGGGCAGCTCACTATTTACATGGCCCAGGGTGAGCTGGGAGGATCCTAATGTTAAAAATATCTGGCTTGTGTTTAATGCCAGTGGAGCCAGCGTAAACACTGCAGCACAGGAGCACAGAGGTCAGAGCGGTTTAGGGGGAACCTCTGACTTATAGGATTACTACACCGCTGGATCAGAATTTGTCTGGCTATTCTTCTGACCCTCTCAAACAAACACTCAGAATAAAAAACACTCACATACCACCATTCACAAGCTACATTTGGGCATGCATCCCAAAGCTGTTTGTGTTATCATTTTGTGGAAGAAAACTGCATTCTACTCCAGAAATTGTGCACTAGCTGCATGTGGAACTTTAGTATCTCAGCCACACTTGCTGGTTGTTGATTGGGCCTAGACTAAAATGCTAGCAGAAATGGTCTAATGGATTCTACATGCTAACAAACATCCTAAATCAAACTGTGGGGGAAAGGCAATCCATATGGTAATGATAAAAGAGGAAGCATTCAGGTGGTGTGTGAGGCTCCCTGTACTTTCACATGCACAGGGAAGTGAGCTGCTTTCCTCTTCAGTATCCGAGCAGAAAAATTAGAGTACACACGGGAGATGCCCTGAAGAATAAGAAAGTCGGTAGGAGACAGTCCTGCTCACATGTGCCAGCCAAATAATGACAAAGGTATTCCAAATCCACTTAAGCAAATGCCACAGAAATGACACTGCATGGTTTGTATTTGCACACACATATTTCCAACATACTGTATTCATATTCAACATTATAAACAAAAGTTCTTCGATATCTTTTTATGATTTATGCCTTGCTACAGTTTGCACGAAGGAGGATGTTTATGAGAAGAGACTTTATAAAACAGCCTTATGTGGCTTACTTTCAATCTCTCCTGCCTTAAGGAGGTTCCCCTTCTCATTCTTCACTTTGCCAAACTGTAAATCAAGACCATTTCTGTTAAGTCATCGATCACTTTCAGATGCTACGATGGTATGCGCGTTCAAGGCACCACATGGCACAACCTGGTTAAATGAGCTTGCCAAAGTTTATAAAAGTATGTGGACAGAAGATATTAAGTCATGCAGCTGTCGGTTGTGACCTGGAAAACGGATCATTAGGCAGCGTAGGATGAAAACACTTCAGACAGAGACTAATTATGTAGCCCAGGGCAGTGGAGCCCAGCCACATGGTTACTGGTACTGACTGTGTAGTCAGTAACACATTTTCATTCAATCTGCCAGCGCACACGCTGCACCACTGATCAGACTGGAAACTACAAGCTGCCAAATTATTGAATGCGGTTAAAGGAGAGTAGAGCGTGTTGACTGTGGACAATGACAGTGAGGCAGGTGGACCAGATCATTAGTAGTTCAGGAGAGTCTGGCTTGCCATCAGTCGGAGGTAGTTTACAGTTAATGAGGGTTTCTTCCTATCAGTGTGATACAGTAGTCATTAGTTACAAGTCCTTGTCAAATGATATGCAGGAACATCATGTCAACGGTTCTCTCAAACAAACACACATCTCTCTCTAGGAGTGATGACAGCATCGTCGGATTATGAAGGGGTGAGGAAGAGAGACTGACAGCTGCAGAGACAGAGAAAGGAAGTGATAAAAGAGACAGAGATAGGGTGATGCAGAGAAAAACAGAGAAAAGTAAACAGCATTTCCGTGTCTCTCATCAGTTCAGTGTAGTGTAGTTCCTCTTGCTGTCATCCACTGGAAAAAAATATTAAGAGGGATGATTGCCAGGTCAGCTCGCTCTCCTTTACTTCTCCACACATCCAAACGTTTGCCAATATTAAAAAAAAAAAAAAAAGCTATCAAGCTATCAAATGCTCATTGATCAATGTTTGCAAAGGCTAGCTTTTGAGGTACAAGTAAGTTTTATAAGGTTTCCTTTGAAATAAAGCTCTAAAATAAGTTACCTTGTGCATTTGATGAGTTATATTCATAACTCTAATGCCTCTATGTCTCATCCAGCCCTTGTTTCATTCACAATAGTAATTGAAGCTTGGCATTTCTGAAAAGACAATCTGCCTGTCACAGTTTAGACAAGCTGCCATGTGAGACTAATACAACAGCCCAGACACTGCTGTGAATCAAGTTTTTGTCACGCAAAATGATGTCATTCAGCATCTCTTAAAAGCACAATTAAGTTACACGATCCAAGCTGTCAGTGAACTGGCTATTCTTGGAAACACTTTAAAAGTCTCATAGATGGCATACACATCACAGGTCAGACAGTATACAGTATATGACACTTTAAATTATGTGTTTTTCATAAGCCAGAAAATCAGTAAAAACATTTACAATACAGTGTATTATGATGTGATTTAATATAAACTGACTTATTTAAAGCACCTTCATTATTCAGTGCTGTACAAAAGACATGGGTTTTCTGCCATTCTGAGTAATTAATATTTCACTGTAATTCAGTATTATTGCACTTCAGATTGCAAAGTAGACAATTTTAAAAATCAAATGAAAATAAATGATAGGAAGATTGTGAAAGTGAACTAAGGAGTCTTGATAATCCTTAAACCTGATATGAGTACTGTACTTTATCCTTTCCCTTCATCTTCATGTTTTAAAGACGTTTGCTGTGCGAACAAAGGCACCTGTTGTGCATCAGGGTTACTTCAAACTGTAAATTCTGCTGCTGTGTTCCCAGGACATAGGAAGAGAGAGAGAGTGCGTCAGACTGACAGGTACGCACAACCTGTTAAAGCACTTGACTCCTTAGTGTGATGACAAATGACAGAAAATATGTAGAGTGGAAGAACCTTTACTACAGATTGTTGAAGTATGATCTGGCCAAATGTCATATGGAAAAAAGAGGATGTGTACAGTTCTTGATATTTATATTAGCATGAAGGATTTACTGAGTGCAAAATTGTAACTATGTCTGGCATATACAGCATACAGCTTATACAGCTTTCCAAAATTCTAATGTATTTCTCATAAAACCAAGTAGCTTTTAAATAACTGACCTTTTATTCAACTTTCTGACGCATCCACTGAATGTTTGCTAGCAAGAACTCAGAAATATATCAGAACCTCGATCAAGTTTTATGAGCAACCATTTAAAACACATTTATCTTTAAAAAAACCAAAAATGAATATGAGGCCGTGCAGTAAAAGAATTTCATGTATGTAGTTTTTT